AATTATACTCCCACCTTCCAGTTGCATAGCCATTCTTAATGGCCAAGAGGAGATAATTTGCACAATAACTGTAGTTATTTTCCAGATTATACAATATGCAATTCCCTGCACAATCACTGCAGGGTTACACAAATGCCTCCATTTTGAAAGGCTATCACATCTAGAACTCCACAACATAACTGTCATAAATATGGGTGTCTCAGATTCTGGTCCAGGTCTCATCTTGTAACCTTACCTTATTGTAATAAATACAATTTCAATTATACTTTGAGAAGGAAGGGAGGGGACTAAGCCTTCCTCAAGGAGCAAACAGCAGCATGGGAGAGAATTACTGGGAAAACTAGAATTAGGTAAATTGGCACATGGCAATGTTTGAACTCCCCTTCCATATGTTCACAACCAAATCACTAGCCATTCAGAGAGCAAGATTAAAAGGGTTCTTTTCCATACAGCATTAATTCAGGGGTTTCTAATAACTCTGTAACAACTATATATAAGGCTAACTCCTTCTGAGTTTTGCCCTCAAATAGCAAGGGAGCTATCAGCTTGAAGATAAGTAAAAAGGGCCGTATTTCCTCTTCTGACAGGACAATTTGTCAAGGGACAAAAACGAGTAAGTTTTTAAGATGTCTTGTGAGTGGTAGGTTGCTCCTCTTCATTGAAGAACAAAAAAGATGGCATCCAAAATCCACAGATTCAAGAAGATCAATACGAGGCCAGAGCATTCCACAGTGAAGTCCAGGACCTCTGCCTATCTTGGTTTTATCAGGCTCTGCAAGTGGCACCACTACAATAGAGCTTATACTACTGGCAGCAGATGCTGAGGCCTACTTTTAAGGAGATCTTCTAATTGCAAGCTAAGGCTGTATTATTTTTTCACAGGAATCTCTACAGTGGGCAGTGATCAGGTACTGAACTGGCTTGCCTCTCCCCAATTACCCCGTGGAATCTCCATTTGAATATGACTCTTGGTATGAAAGAGCACCTCAAATGAAAAACAGTCTTGTCTATTGAAGCTATTTCCCAGTGCTGATTAGATCTGTGAATCCAGCATACTGTAACATGAAACCTGTTTTTAGAATTATTCAAATGGCAAACAACTTATGTTTTTAATTAAAGTGGTTTACTGATAAAGGTGGAGAGGAACTATTGCCTAGTAAAGAATGGTGTAATGCAGGTTTTATTCTGTATAAATTACAAGTAAAAATATTTTAAGAGGATGAATGAAAAGCATTTATCAGTTTCCCTACCATAGTAGCTAAATAAATTCTATTCCTTAAACTGATACAATTTATGTGCATTAGAAATTGAGAAACTACAGATTTGTAATTAAAAATCAAACTCTTAAATGTATTTCCCAGGAAATTAAATGACTGTTTAGAACTCACGAATTTATCAACATACAATAGTTAAACTTGTTAAGTAGTCACATTTGAACAGTTGTCAATTTGTGTGATAACGTATATTTAAGCAACTGGAAAATAAAGTCATCTTTCTGATACAGTATTTAAATTTGTAAGATATCTTTTATTTAAGAAAAAGTAAGTCATGGAACTATAAAGTGGGCAAGTCATCCAGGACTGAATCTCTTACCTCTCGTACAAGAAAGCACAATCAATTGTTCCTATCATTCTTTTGGAGAGGGAGCATACAAAAGATCTCATCTTTATAAATTCATTAGTACAATTTTGTGTAATTTTGTTATATGTACAAACAAAATGGAAACTTATTTGATTGTTTAACTTGCTTAGATGACATAGTATTTGTATGGATTGAGAGATGTTCTTTTGTATTTTTTTTTTTACCTTAATGGCACGTTTTGTGTTCAGAAATATTTTTTCTGATTGTAAAACAAAAAGTGACTGGATCTATTATCCTATCCACTAACGTGGAAATGCATGCTCCTCGTCCCATTCTCTCATCTTAAGATCTTACTTGCATTCCGATAAGAAAATCTGAAGTTATTTCCTCAAACCTCCAACACTGGAAAAAAAAAAAAACCCCTACAAAAATAGGTTACACAATGCAAGAATATTTCAAACATTTTTAAAGAGCCATGAAGAATAACTGAATCATTCCACTGTGTAACCAATTACAGAAAATCTTACTCAATATAAGTAAGATATTCTTAAATGAAATAATGGATTTGACCCTGTTTTAAAGTCTGCATTGCAAACTCTCTCTATATTGTAAGGTCTGAAACTTTTCTAAATAATACAAAAATATCTCCAAAGAGTGATTTGACTTTTAAAAGAAAGGAATAAAAATCCCTGAGTAATCCAAAGACAACTGATATGTAATGCTTCTGAAAACAGACTCACTTAAACTATTTTCAAGGCAGCTGACAACTTTCAGATGCTACCAAAGTAAGGGACAGATGTGTCAGAGCAGATAGGATTTTAAAAGCTACATAATAGATATATTTTAATTGGAAATCCTCTACTTGGAAATTAGGTAATTGCCTCAGCAAAACTCTCTGAAAAGGTCCTGTTTCCACAAACACTGCAGAATCTGCATACCTTTAAACTGAAAAGTAAGATGAACAGAGGTGCTGTTGGATCCATCTTGGCTACCATTATATACTTGTGCACAGTGTTTTGGTTAAAAAAAAAAAAAAAGCAAGCTGGCTAAAGCCTGTAAGTAAGTCAACACTAGCCAACTACAGTAAGCTGACTTGTGTTGCCAAGTAAACAAAATCCACTACAGTTTCTTCCACTGAGGCTTTGAAGTATACACACTACTGCAGGAGTAAACATGGATCACTAAACTGCTGTTATATTCAGGTTTCAGCTTTTCTTTTTAAGGATATTGGTGCAAAATACATACTCTCAAAATCCTATGCTGCATTTGGGTGCAATCTACAGTACCTACAGGCTTTCATGGAGACTAAAAAACAACATATACAGATACCTGGTTAGATGTGGCCAGTTAATACGGCCACTTTAAGTAATCTTATTCCTTTTATTTCCTAAAAGGCTGACTGATGTTTTATGGGAAAAAAATGGTATTTTTCTTTCCACCTCCTTTCATGTTTAGACATTTTAGTTAAATACATCTTAATTTCTTCTTCCTAACATTTTAATAAAAAGATTCAATTATATTTGCACAATAGCAAGATAGTGAGATTGTGTGTGTGTTCTTTTTAGTTCTAGTAACTTATTCCTAAATTTTAATTACAGTAAAACTCCAGTGGTCCGACATCCAATGGTCCGGCACTCCTGATGGTCCGGCACCATCTGGAACCCAGAAGTGCTCCAGGCAGCAGGACAATTGGAGCTGCTCTGCCCCCGGCTTCCCTGAGTCAGCCGCTGGTCAGTTTCAGCAGCGGCTGACTTGGGGAAGTCTGGGGCAGAGCAGCTGGGGTGCTGTCGGGTTGATCCCGCAGCACCGAGGGGCGGCGCTAGGGGACCAACCCGGCAGCACTCGGACGCCTGGGGCAGAGCAGCTGGAGTGCTACCGGGTTGGTCCCCTAGCACTGCCCCTCAGTGCTGCGGGACCAACCCGGC